AGTCTTGTGCCCAGGGCACTTGGCTTGCCACACCCTAGCACTGTCTCACCTGGGCTCACCTTGATGAGGCAGTGGATTCCTCCCCTTCTCAGCTCCTCTTCTCACTTCTCACTTGTTCTCAGCAGAGCAGCTGGGGGGCCTGTCAGGATGAAGTCAGAGCTCCCCACTCCGGCTCCACCCCTCTTCCGGCCTCCCCTCCCGCTCAGAAGGCCTAATCTTCCTCCCGACTCCCTCTAATGCTTGTCGTTGCTCACGCCGCTGTTTCTGCAGCAGCTCATTTTGCTGCCCCTCCTGCTGCCCGCCTTTTGCTCCTGCTGGTTTCTCTGCCTGACGTGCATCTCTGACATAACTTTCCATAGCCTCACGGCTTCCTCCCTTCTCTCCTACAGATCTTTCTAGAAAGACCACCTTCGCAGTGAGATCGTCCCTGACCTCACTTGGCACCTGCTCACCCCCACACACTCCCGATCCCCTTCCTGCTTTGATTTTTTGCACACGCCTTTTACTCGGTTCATTTCCTGCCCCTCAGGAAAGTAAGTGCCGTGAGGGCAACAGGTTTTGTGCTTCATTCCCTGCTGGATGCACAGCACCTAGATCGAGACCTGTCACTTAGTGACATTTGCTGGATGCATGACAATGCGTGGACGACTCATTTCAGATGACATGTGGGCAGCTGGTGTCCAGGCCCCTCTTGGCAGCCTGGCCCAGCAGGCACGCCACCAGGTTCTGATCTGCGGGTAAAACAACAGGGCTCGGCACGCAGAGGCCACGCTCCCCGAGCGCCTTTGTCCTTCTGGCCTCAGCTCATCCGAAGCTTTGTCTCCGGAAAACCGACAGAGCCCTCTGCCAGAAAGATCAGCTGGAACTTCTTGTTATTGCAGCTGTTTTCAAGGCTTGCTAGCGGGCTGCTTGGCCACAGGGAGGCCCATGGGGAGCCAGGGTCAGGCGATGGGCTTCCAGCTCTGGTGTTCAGACATTGCAAAGCACATCTTCAGGTTGTCTCGTTCCATTCGCTTCTCAGCCTTTCTGGCCAACAGCCTGCCCGCTGGTCATATCACGTCTTACGAGAGTCGTTATCCATAAGCAAGCTCAGCATCTGAGGGAGGTAGTCTTGCTTTAAAATGGGGGTCATAGAGAAGGATGCCCATCATCGCAAAGCTAATTGGCAACTAAAGTCCACTCTGCTGCTGCCTGAGCAGCACTGGGACAGGCCGGTGGTTCATACTGAGCTCAGCAAGGATCCATCCCAGCCACTTCTGCTGGGTCAAGCTGATGGGCTTTCCTCGTGGAGTTTGTTGAGTCAGGTGGTCAAGCAAGCGCCTTCTGGCCCAGCGGAAAGAGGAGTAAATTTTCTACTTGCCAAGGACTCCCCCTTTCTTCCTTAGCTCCTTGCCTATGTCTACTTTCTTTTTTGAGAGGGGAGGTGATGGGTAAAGAAAAAGATGGAAAGTCACCTCAGATAAGGCACTGAGCTCGAAGTCTCAGCTTGGATTGTAACAGTGAGATGCTCGGTCTGTCTGACTCTGTCTTGTTCAAATCTGTGTTGTTCTTAGGGCGTTCGGGCTGATAGCTCCTGCTTCAGACATGCTTATTGTTAGAGGAATTGTGCTTGAGGCTTGAGTTTTTGTAAAGCAGTCTCTCCCATTTTCCTGTCCTTGACAAAAAACAAGGCTGAATTCTGTACTTTCTTAAGGTGGATTTGAGGAACTACTACTAAGGCTTCCGTTTTCTTGGCACCCTCTCGATCAATAAACCCTTCCTTACTCCAAACTCTTTTTGGTGTTTGAGTTTTGGCCTCTCAAAGCATCGGATACACAGACTTTGGACCAGTAACAGGATCTTTTAACTACCCCCCAAGTTTTACTGAGGTATAATCAAATAAAAATTGTATATACTTATGGTGTACAACATGATGTTTTAATTATGAAATGATTACCACAAGGAAGCTAATTAACACATCAATCACATAACATATTACCGTTTATGTTTTCTGTGGGGAAAACATTTTAGATCTACTCAGCAGGTTGCAAGTAAGCAATACAGTATTATTATTTTTATCATTTTTTTTTAGGTAGCACATTATTTTATTTATATTTGTCAGTGAATGTGAAAGGCGTGAGGTGGTAAATGCATTTCTGAAAAGCACTATGGCTAAGTTTTATTTAAATTTATAAGCTAGTATATTTCTGCTAAATCCAAAAGTCAGAGCTCAAATATTGAGTATACTCCTCTGATACTATGCCCGGAGTGGGTATAAAGAAGTAATAAGTCAGTTTCATTCAGCACTAATGAATACTATGCCCCATACATAAGATAGAGCTAAACTAAAAGTCTAGCTTTATAACGTACAAATTATTTTAGCATACCGAGACCTATCTGTCCATTCGCATTTAACCAACCGTGTGTGCAATAGAGAATTATTAACTGTACTCCATGCCGTACATTAGCTTTCCAGAAGTTACGCATCCTGCATAACATGTCCCTATTTCTCCAGCCCCCAGCCCCGACAAGTACCATTCTGCTCTCTGTTTCTGTGAGTTCTACTGTTTTAGTTTCCACACTTCAGTGCGATCATGCCGTATTTGTCTTTCTGTGTCTGGCTTATTTCATTTAGCGTAATGTTTTCTAGGTTCAGCCAGGTTGTTGCACATGACAGAATTGCCTTCTTGTTAAAGGTGACTAATATTCCATTGTTTATATATATGTATTATATATACAGCACGTTTTCTTCATTCATTCATCAGTGGATACATGGGTTGTTTTCATATCTTGGTTAGTGTGAGAAATACTGCAGCAAATGTGGGGGTGCAGATATCTCTGCAAGATAGTGATTTCATTTTTGGATAGATACCCAGAGGTGGGATTCCTGAATCATATGGTCATTATGTTTTTCATTTTTTGAGGAACCTCCATATTTTTCATAATGTCCACTTGGATCTTAATCAGAGTCTGTGGCTTGAAGTCCATTCTTAGAATGTCTGGTTTGCTTTTTCATTGTAGTTAAAAAAATAATGAAGGGGGAAAGGATTAAATGTCTCCCTGGAAGTGTGGGCATGAAGGATAATGCACCAGGGTACTGGCTAAATTAGTTATTCCCATTCTATGAAATAGAATGTTAGGTATTAATGGTTCTCTTTGGAAATCCTCAAAGGAATGTTTATCGTGGAATGCATAAACACAACAATCTATGTTCCCACCTTAATTTTAGCTTCTCTTTTAAGGGATTTTTTTTTTTTCCTGCTGTCTTTCATGTGGGGTCATTCTGAAATGAATTAATGAGCAAGAGTGAGTCCACTCTAGTGTTCCAAGCTAAGTCGCTTTAAGAAGAAAAGCTTCCTGTGATTGTTGCTTAGAGTCAGAAGCCAGTGGAATGAGACTGGGGATCAACCAGCAGGTCCACGAGTGTTTGCTAGGCACCCTCCTTGTGCAAGAGCTCTTTCCTCTAGAAAGGGAGAAGTCTTTGGAGCCTCAAGATCAACAAATACCAGTTGAATCTAATTGAGTTTGAAATAATAACTCTCCTTTTGGAAAATGGAAAAAAATCGGCATTTCTGAACAATTGATTCATGGGCCTCCAGATGACCATGACTGTTTACTTGGACTTCCTTTTTTTTTTTTTTTTTTTTGGGTTAAGTATGTATCTGCCCATCTTTCTAAGTTTATTTGGATCTTCCCGAATTTATATACCTCTGGCTAGCCCCGTCCGTTGGGCTTGGCCTCTGGGTTGCCTTGTCAGCTGTGCATTTCTTCCCAACTCAGGGGTCACAACTAGAAGTAGTATCTGTCATAATCTAGCCCTAGCAGCATCCTCGTTAACAATTTGGTTCTCCTTTAATCTCCTCCAGAGGTAGGGTGTTCAACTGAGGTTTTTTATTTCATCCAGAGTTTCAAGTCTTCCTCTCCTTCACTAACCCTGTAAATATAGGGCTTTTAAGGGAACTAGGGGTCATATGGTTTTATTTTAGGGTTCCCATTTGTGACCTGCAGTTGAAAGCATGAACTTCAATTCCTGTCTTTCAAAACTGAACCAGATTTATTGCTTTTGTGTTTGTCCACTGAAGCTGAATCATCTCCAGTTAAGTTAATTTTCTTCTTAGGACCAGAATCAGGATGTTTTTCCCTTCTAAGCATCTTGGTACACAAAGTGTGATCTAAAGAACAACAGTCTAGGCCTCACCTGGGAGCTTGTTAGAAATATAGATCCCAGGCCACAGCCTTACATATTGAACCTGCATCTTGATAAAATCCTCAGATGATTTATACGTGCATTCCAGTGTGAGAAGCACCTGGTTGAGCCTGTCTTTAGATTTTCTTATTAAACTTACATTGTCCAGATGTAAAGAGACACATTTCCATGAAAAATTATTAAAAAGTTTTTTCTAATATATTTATTATGAAACATTTCAAAATTACGGCAAAATTGAATGATGTCGGCAGGGAACGCCCATAGAATCTCCACCTGGATCCTACCGTGAACTTATTTTTTTTGCATTTCCTTTTTTTCCCAAATTAATGTCTGTCAAGAATTTTATATAGAAATATTAGTTTTCACCGTGACTACTAGAAAGAATCATATCTTGGTAATCAAGGTCTTACCCTTTCTTCTAGAATCCTCAGTGGGTTTGACAAGGTCACATTGGTTTGGAAATTTCTTGTGAATCAGAGGAGCATGGGGGCAGGTGGTGGGGGTGGGGGGGCACTGGGATCTTGCAGAGTTGGGTGCTGGTCTTTGCCCCGTTCAGACAGCCAGCTCAGCATCCTCAGGAATCCAGTGAGTGGGTTAGAGAGAGATCATCCCATCCTTGTGATTATAGGTCCGTTGCAAATATTATCATCATCACTCTTTCTCAGGTGGAGAAACTGATGAACCAGTGAAATATTCGCATAAGAAAGAAAACATCTGTTGGCATGGAAAAGTGATTATTTCCTAAGCTACTGAGTAAAACACAGCTGCACTGGCAGTTCTCACTCTGTTTTCTTGTCAATTTTTGCTCTTTCAGGAAACCTTACAGAAACATGAAGCCCTCAACCACCTGGAACTCAGAAACTCATTCGGGGCTGTCTGCGGCTTCTAGAACCTCCAGGTGTCCTGCAGATGTGAGGTTTCATCCTACACTCACCAGCTGGAGTCCTGAAAAGATGCGAGGCTCGTGCTTCGGCGCTAACACCTCTGAGCTCGGAGGGGTCACTTTCTAAGTGGCCGAAGGGCAGTTGCTGACACTGTCGTCTGATTGCTGTGCAAAGCCAGTCATCGTACGGAGCCATAGTGGGGAAAGCCACATCGGGGGTTGCAAGTTTCCTGACTCTCTTGAGTTAGGGTTCCAGGTCGGGGGCCTCATTTCTGCAGCTCTCAATGTCCCTATAGGCAGCATCAGTATCTTTTTGTAACATCAGTATCTTTTTGTAAACCCTCGATCTCCAGGGACTCCCTGCACTGCAGGTGAGCAGAAGGGGGCTCTCGGAGACGTCTCCAGTGGTGGGTGGTCCACCACCATCATTCTAGACATTTGGAATTCCCCCCTTACCACCATGACCTGGCTTTTTCTAAAGGCGTTATTGGTGGGAGTGAGTTTCTTAGGATGTTTTTATCCTCTTGTCGATTTTTACTTCGATGGGGAAACAAGAGGCCAGAAACCAAATTTTGTGATCATTTTGGCAGATGACATGGGGTGGGGTGACCTGGGAGCAAACTGGGCAGAAACAAAGGACACCGCCAACCTTGATAAGATGGCTGCCGAAGGAATGAGGTGAGTCTTGAGGATGCCAAGCCAGCTTCTCTTTGTTGTTACCCTGCCTCTCTTGGGGGTAGGGGGCAGTGTAAAGCATTTGAAGAGCAATCCTTGGGTCTGCGTTGATTGAATTATGTGATTAATTGGGTTTGAAACCAGTTCAGCCTCATGGAGGGATCCATTAATCTGTTTTTCTTCCATCCATCTGATAATATTCACAGTCCCTATGTTAGGAAATGGGAATACAGAAGTGAACAAGATAAGAATCCTTGCCCTCAGGTACTTAGTGTCTGGTAGGGGAGACAGGTTAAATGGAACATAAGGATTATGGTCTAGTACATGAACCACGTGAGGAATTTTTGGAATTCCCAGGGAGGGTTTGGTGACATTTGAAGAATAACTGACAGGGAGGCACCAAAGGCGGGAGGAGGGCTTACTTGTGCGCTGCCAGGACTTACCAGTGCATTTAGGCTCGCTGACCCCACAGGGACTGCAGATGCGCATCTGGATGGGTCGCAGTGTTCATCAAGACCTTTTTTCAAATACCCAGCCCCTCTCCACTCTTAGCCAGAGAGCAGTTCTCAGCTTTCAGCCCTTTGGGTTTTCTTCTCAGGCTGACATCGATCCCGTCCGCGTTGTGTGGACCCCTCCACCGGCTCAGTGGGGTCTCTCCAGCCGGCTGGGGAGGACCACACTGGGGCCTCTCCACAGAGACTCTGCCATTTGCATCCTGGAGCAGAAGCTTTCCCCTGAGATAGGGACCCTTGGGGTCCTTGCATCTACCCCAGTCCCTCTTCCACACCTTGCTCAAGGTGAACTTTCAAGAAACACTCCTCTGCTTTCAGTCCTTCAAAGGCATTTTGTGGTTAAAATGCAGACTCCGAAGGGCCGCCGGTGTGTGCTCGGCTCCTTCCCTCGCCACTGGCCTCAGTCGGTGCCTTCCTTTTGGGGGCCAGACCTGTGCGATGAGTTCTTGCTGCTGCACTTGCTACTTCCTCTGTTTAATTAGTTTCTATTCACCATTTGGGTTCCGATTCCCCGTGCCGTCCTCAGGAAAGTCAGCTTGGATGCCCCAGGCGTGCTTGGTCGTCAGCCTGGCTCCTCACCATGGTGACCGTTCGATCATCTGCCCACTCACTTCCCGGAATCTCTGTCCACCTGGAGCCTCAGGGCAGGGCGGAGTTTGATAAAAGCGTCTTTGCCAATGTCACTCGGTGAGGATTTTGATGGCATCATACTCCATTTAAGGTGGGTCCTAAATCCAATGACTAGTGTCCTATAAGAAGAGAAGACACAGAGAGATGCAGAGGAGAAGGTGTGAAGATGGAGGCAGAGATTTGAGTGATGGGTCTAGGAGCCAGGAAAGCTGAGGACTGCTGGGATTGCTGGGAAGGAGGTGTGAAACATCGTCCTTATGAGCTTCCGGGAGGAACCAATGCTGTAGACATCTGGGTTTCAGACTTCTTGCCTCCTGAACTGTGAGGATAAGTTTCTGTTGTTTTACACCCAGTCTGTGGTAATCTCATATGCCAGTCACAGGAAATGCGTACACCTTGATTCTAGCTCAGGGCTTTAGGAAGAGAAGTGCCTTATCTATTCTTCCTCCTTTACATTTCTAGCCTGTAGCCCCGTGCTGCTCACATAATAGGCAATTTATAAATATTTGTTCATCAATAAATGGGCTTTAGGAGTTCAAGATGCCCTGAAACATCACCCCGAATTTTGCACGTAGGAATTTTTTCTGGAGCAAGAGTACCATTTATCAGATCTTTCAAAGGGAAGTGGGTTGCCGAATGCTTAAGAACTTCTGCTTTTAGTGTGGGGTGGGTTAGTGGGGAAATAACTGGCCCGTTACTTAACTGACATTTGGGAGGCCTGGACATTCTTTTTATGAGCTGTCCCCACCCACATGCTCTCATCCTGATCAGAAGGGGCCTCGAGACCAGATACGAACACAATTTGGTGGGCTTTCCTATTTTTTTTCTCCCATTGAAGAAAATATTTTCTCCATCTGAGCCTTGTGACGGGGGCTAGACAGACAGCCCTGTGGCCTGGGGTCCATGGCCTTTCATTTTGTGCTTTGTTGACAGGAAGGTGACTTCCTATGAGGATGAATTCTTTCCTGGCTTCTCCCGCTGCCTACGCACAGCCAGAGGGGAGCCATGACTTTTAGACAAAAACTCTAACTGTTAAACAAGATCTAAGGGTGACTTCAAAAAGTGTCTTTTCTAGTGTCATTTTTTTTTTTAATTAGTATATTAGTTTCCTAAGACTGACACAAGAAATTACTGCAAACTGGGTGGCTTAAAGCAGCAGAAATTTATCCTCTCACAGTTCCAAAGGCTCGAAGTCCTAAATCAAGGGGCCGGCAGGGGAGGTTCCTTCTGCAAGCTCTGGGGGAGAATCCGTTCCGTTCCTCTCTCCCAGTTTCTGGTGGTGGCAGGCATCCTTGGCCTCCCTCGGTCTATAGACTCATCTCCTAGTTCTTTCCCTCTGTTGTTACACGGAGTTCTCCCTGTGTGTGGGTGTGTTAAACTCCTCTCTTATAAGGACACTAGTCATTGGATTTAAGACCCAGCCTAATCCAGTATAACCTCATCTCAACTTGCTTACATCTGCAAAGACTTTCTTTCCAGATAAGGTCACATTCACAGGTGCTAGATTGACGTGAAATTGCGGGGAAGTGGGGGGCTACTCAGCACGATGAGCCGTATTACTTATAATTTAGTCTTCAAAGCAGTAGACACTTAACTGGGCAGCTGCTACTTTACAGACTGTGTTGGGAGCAGAGGTAAGGATGGCCTCCAGTGCTTAAAACTATGCTTCGGACGTGGTAGGCCCACAAAAAACATTTGCTCATGTGCTTGGACTCCTGGATCCAAACTTCTGGGCAGGGTTGGACGCGTTAACCACAGCGTGGGGTCTGGAACCAGGCTGCCCAGGTCTGTCACTTAGTAGCTCGGTGATGCTGGGCTCACATACTAAACTCTGCTGGGCTTCAGTGTGCTCATCTCTGAAATGAGACAATAATGACATACCTCATGGGATCATTTGAGGAGGACATGAATTAAGTCATGTAAGGCGGTACGAAGAGTTCCTAGTACATAACGGTGCTTGCTAGGTGTTAGCTCTTATTGTCCCCGATACCATTGGCTCTGCTGCCATGCTTTTTCCCATGTCCCCCTACCCTGGCTGGCAGGTCGGGCTTACTTCCTCAGTTACGTTTCTGCTGCACCTTGTCCATCTGTGCCCCGACGCCCACCCTTCCCCAAGCTGGGCCATAGAACTCGGCTGTCCTCTCGGAATCTGCTCGATTCTGCGCATTCCTAGACCGAGTCCCCAAGGCAACGCTTCCATGTCTCCGACAGTTCCCTTTGGCTTCCCTGCGGCTACAAACCTTTGGTTTCCTTGTTGTTGTTGTTGTTGTTGTTGTTGTTGTTGTTTTTTAACCTGGCCATGGTGGATGCAATTTGCCAATTGCGTGGACTGAACAGGCACCAGTCACAACATAATTGTGATGTCATCACTGTCGCAGAAAAAAAAGAATCCTTGGGAGAAGAAAAGCAGGATTTCCAGTGTCTCGGTTTTGGTTTCCCTCTTCAGGCTTTTTCTAGACTCCACTCACATGGAGATAAAATAGAGCTTGTGGCCTAAGCTCCCCGGGCCTTGGGCTCATGTACAGTATCTCTGGTCAAAGTCCATGCACATCACATATCACTTAGGGAAACTGAGGCTCAGAGAGAAACGGTTTTACTCTTACAGTCATCTAACATGTGGGGGTGCGTCATGAAGTTTGCAGATTTACCACATTAAAAATTATGACAAAAGTTTTTTAGTTTTTTGTGTGTGTGTGTGTGAAAAAAAATGAACGCTACCACAATCAGCAAACCTCTTTAATCAGCGGGCATTGCCGTTTGGGGCCCCCCAGGGTCAGTGACTGCACTTGCGTCACTGCGAGACGGCAGTCCGCTTGTCAGTAGTTTCAGCAACCAACATATTTTGCCCTTGACCTTGTGGGCTGCTTGCTGTTTTACCAGGGTCCTGTGCAAATCTGAGCTGGGCAGTGTTGGTGAACATTTGTAAGTTTAGAAATGATATGATAAGCAGAAGAAAGTCGAAACTTTAGAATAAATGAAAATGCCAGGGATTTAGTAATCAACTACACATTAAACTTTTCAAGTAATTGGAAAACTTGCATAACAGTATAAGATAGAGGATTGGACTGCTCTTGTTTTAAGGAGAAGGACAAGTGCATTTTGTTGGCATCTTTTCCAGCTCTTCGAACAGTCTGAACAATAATTACATCTTTTAGTCATTACAGGAATTCAGTTAACAACCTTGATAACGCAACATTAGTTTGGTTCTTGTCGGCAGCGCATCCAGGGAAGGCCGATGCTGGTTTCATCTGTGATGAACAAGCAACATATTTTCTTGAAAAGTCTCAGGTTAAGAAATAACTTGCATGAGTCTTCTGGCTGGGTGACTGGATTCAGGCAATGATGTAGGATGTCTGACTGGGTTTTGCACACCTGAGCAATCGTGACCCACAGGTGTCTTGTGGAGGGAGGAAAAGGATGACGAGTGATAGAAAGAAATCATCTCAGCCAGATCCTGCCCACTCAATTAAATCGTCTGCCGGGCTGGCTCAGAAGTGAAGTTAACTGAACATCGTAAATACATTTACGATGTATTACGATGTACATAGGTGAATTGACTTGCAAAAAGTTAACTTTGCTCCTCAAATTCTCTCCCTTCCTGCTTCTCCCCTTCTCTGCCAACAATTTAATTCTGAGTCAGGTCAATGCTATTGCTGAGAGTTACAGGCAGTGGCTTAGCTAGAAATCAAAGATCAATATTCACCACTGGAAGGTCAGAGGCTCTCAGGGGCTTGAGGCTATTTCTAAAACGGACCTCATCGAGGAATGAATTGAGCTGTCAGTTTAATCAAACGAACACCTGGTTTGATTTCTGTTCTCCACATTGGCTTTTGCAAAAATTCATTCATCCTGTTACAGGAC